ACTATGTTGAGAAATAAATCGCCACTTTTCCAAAATTTTCGTTTTTCTTTTGTAGGCTAAGTACTTATCGGACCGCCCTCGTATATTACTATCAAAATATATTAATCATATAAATAACAATTTTTTTGTAATTATTATTTTACCGAATTATAATAAATAAAAGTTGATTACATATTATCTTTTTAAATTTCTTTTCGTCTAACTCGCACACTTATTGACGAGTGCAGTATAACGGCGACGAAGCGGACTCAGCGGCCAGCGTGGCACCGCGGAAATTATTTTCTTCCACGCAGATAATATCAAATGATCATTCTAAAAAAATATGACTTTTATAAAAAATTTAACGAAGAATATGAAACATTTCGTTGAAGTTATCAGCTTCAATTCGTCAATATGCATCATTCAAAAGTGACGTAAATAGAAAGCGTCTATTATGCGGAGAAAATTATGGAAAAAGACACGATACTATTATGTATCTTTGAACATCTAGAATAATGCAAAGATACGTTTATATTTGCTCTGTAATAGTACATACATATGAATAAAAATTCCGAGAATAAAAGTAATCCAATTTAGATTATCTGCATATAGTTTTAGTCTGTCGCTCAATACTTGGTTAGTTGATATGTACTTCAGCCTTCAATGTACATATGATATCTTACAGTATAATTCTCATGAGGTTCCTAGACGATCTGTAGAAATAAATTATTCTTGAAATTTTTATGAAGAATATTAAACGCGTTTGTGTTTCGTGCTACAAGAATTCAAATTATTAGTCGACTGCGGAAACATGACGAAGACGCTGCAGACAGCTCTCGCACCATTATTTATCATTGGCTCGTTCTTCAGTTTGGCCTTCTTTGAATATCCATTTGGGCAACCAAGACCGTATCTCTCTGGCCTGTATACCTTGAGCACATGGAGCTTTTTTACGTATTACTGGTACTATCCATATTATGTGAATAATTTAAAAAATAATTTACCCTTATGGATGGAAATAATAAAAATGATTACTGTGATTGGATCGACGCTTGTTAGCTATTTTTATTTTAAGGTAAAAATTTTAAAATGTACTTATAGTCTATTAGTCTCTAATATTATTTAATTCGTCAAAATTCTTTAACTTTTAAACACAATTAGTTAAATAAATAAATATAAATAAGGACTCTCAATATTAAACAATACAAATAAAAAATAATAAAAATTCAGATGAAGCTAATGAGAATCATACGTCGAAAAGATAGCAGAAGTAGATAATTCTCAGATGTTAATGTTATCTTCATTTTATTAGGTGTACAAAAAAGTTCTGAGCTTTAGATTTGATACAACCGAAATAACAATTTAAATTTTATATATCTTCCCGCCCTTTTGGGGTTTTAAAACAGTAACATTTA